GGCCCGTGAGCCATGGCCGCTGAGCCTGCACGTCCAGAGCCTGTGCTCTGCAACGGGAGACGCCACAGCAGTGAGAGGCCCGCGTACCACACACACAAAAAAAGAGTGGGTGATAATTGAAGTGATAAATAAAACAGACCTTACCTGCATGTACCTGACAATATAGGCTTGTACAAAAATAACCACAATATAATTAAAACCACATTTATGTCCCTTACTGAACAGAAGTTTGTGTGTCTACTTTCCAAATATTTTGGAAGCGTTACTGTAGCTTAACGGTCCAGTGATGGTCCCTGTAAAGGAACAGTACATGTGAGGATTAAGTACTGAAGAGCTCTGGTATGTCACACTCTCGAGTTCTCAAAAATAGAACCAAATGAACTGAAAAGAAATCAACACTAGATGTAGGGAAATTTTTCAAATTAAAATTTGAAAAATTTATTTCTCTGGCACAATCCTTATAGCTAGTGTACAGCAGCCAGCTTGAGCTGCCACGCCAATGTGTCTAAAAATTTTCTCTTACATTTCCTGGCAGAGCTTAGCTGATACTGTCTGTTATCCCGCGTAGAAAATACAGTGATACAATACATTTACGCAGTGCATCGGTCTCACCAACTCCTCTTGCTGTGCAAATAGCTCCATAAATGTAAGTTTGGCACTTGGAAAACCACAAATATTTTTGGCCTGCTTACATGGCATTTTACACAAACATTTTGGCTTACTACATGTCACTGTAACGTTAATTGGGGTTATTCTTTATATTAATAAATGATTTTTGCCTCAAAAAGTTCGCAGTGAACATAAATGAATCTGGCCAGTATTCTCATGAAATATCTCAACATTTCTATAACGCTACTGGCAAATGATAGCAGCTCATTTTTGCAGATGAGAAAATTGAAATAGTGACTTAGATGTATCACCTCAAGCATCCTTGTCTGATGTCTTCCATATATATGCTGTTTCCAAAATAACATGGTTCAAAATAAAACAAGCATATTCAAATGTCAGATAACAAGTTTATATAATCCCTTAGTCATGAAGGCAGTTCCAGAAGGAGGTAGAAGACAACCAAAACAGAATATTGTAATTTTTATAAAATGAGAGGTAGAGAAAGGACTAGGAAACAGTCCAAAAGGCTCCTAGACAGTAACATCCTCTCCTAATTAGAGTGAAATCAGTAAAATAGTAATCATTAGGTTTACTAATATCCACTGAAATACAAAATAAAATAAGAAACACAGTTCATGCCTTGGCTCGATAAGTGCAAGAAAAACAGGATTTGCCTGCAGTTGTTTTGTTATAGCTTCGTACCATTCATGATGAGAAGAAACTTCTGGATAGACTGTACAAGTGGTTTTCTAGCTGCTTCTACAGATTTGTAGTTCCACTTGACTCATTCTTTCTCCTAACAGATCATGAGAAAAATAGTACCTTTTAATAAGGAACTAATGAGTTGATATCTAAGAATTTCCTAATTAATTTTTTCATTTCAAAAATTTAAGTATAAATCGTTTTTAACATTAAGATGAACTGTTCAATACAACCTCCTGACCAACATTTTTAAAACCACTGTTACAGACTATTCAGACATTATTAAGTTGTAGAATCTTCTTCTCTTTCTTTCTTTTTTTTTTTTTTTCTTTTCTTTACTTTCTTTTCTTTCCTTCCTTCCTTTCCTTCCTTTCCTTTCTTTCCTTTCTTTCTTTCTTTCTTTCCTTTCTGCATTGGGTCTTTGTTGTTGCATGTGGGCTTCCTCTAGTTGTGGTGAGCGGGGTCTACGCTTCATTGCAGTGCGTGGACTTCTCACTGCGGTGGCTTCTCTTGTTGCAGAGTACCGGCTCTAAGCGCGCGGGCTTCAGTAGTTGTGGCATGCGAGCTCAGTTGTTGTGGCTCACGGGATCTAGAGCACAGGCTCAGTAGTTGTGGTGCACGAGCTTTGTTGCTCCATGGCATGCGGGATCTTCCCGGACCAGGGATGGAAACTGTGTGTGTCCCCTCCATTGGCAGGCGGATTCTTAACCACTGTGCCACGAGGGAAGTCCCTGCTTTTTATATACCAAAGTAAGTCCAGGCTCGTAAACATTTTTAGTAAGGAAGGAACTGAAGATAACACCATGTTTTGTATTTTCAAGTATCATCTAGGGGGCTTCCCTGGTGGCACAGTGGTTAAGAATCTGCCTGCCAATGCAAGGGACATGGGTTCGAGCCCTGGTCCAGGAAGATACCACATGCTGTGGAGCAACTAAGCCCCTGTGCAACAACTATTGAGCCTGAGCTCTAGAGCCCACGAGCCACAGCTACTGAGCCCGTGTGCCACAACTACTGAAGCCTGTGCGCCTAGAGCCCATGCTCCGCAACAAGAGAAGCCACCGCAATGAGAAGCCCGCACACCGCAACGAAGAGTAGCCCCCGCTCGCCGCAACTAGAGAGAGGCCACACACAGCAACAAAGACCCAACGCAGCCAAAAATAAATTTATTAATTAAAAAAAAAAGTATCATCTAGGAAAGGCCTTACACACAGATTGAAAAGTAATGTGTAAATCTTTATATTGTGGGTGTGGTCCCTATGAAATCTAACCAACTACCAAAAATCTCTCTTCCACGTCTAACCCATGCCCTTATTTACTAAGTGACACATAAAATTTGTCAAATTCAACTTTTAATACCTAGTTTAGATTTATGGACCTATAGAAGTAATGTGGAGGAAGTTATAAAGCTGCGCTGTCTATTATGGCTAGCCATTAGCTACATATGGCTATTTAAATCAAAACTTAAGGGACTTCCCTGGTGGCGCAGTTGTTATGAATCCACCTGCCGATGCAGGGGACACGGGTTCCATCCCTGGTCCGGGAAGATTCCACATGCCACGGAGCAACTAAGCCCATGTGCCACAACTACTGCAGCCTGTGCGCCTAGCACCTGTGCTCTGCAACAAGAGAAGCCACCGCAATGAGAAGCCCACGCACCACAGCAAAGAGTGGCCCCCGCTCGCCGCAACTAGAGAAAACCCACGCGCAGCAATGAAGACCCAACACAGCCAAAAATAATTCATTAAAAATGAATAAATAAATATTTAAATTTGATTTAATTTAAAACTCAGTTCTTCAGTTGCACTAGCCACATTTAAAGTGTTCAGTAGCCACATGAAGCTAGTGGCTGCCATATTGGACAGCACAGTTGTAGAACATTTATTGGACAATGCAGATGTAGAACAATGCAGAGTTTAATTTGACAAAATAGTCTAGAAAGTATTGATACAGAAGGCACTTCAGTTGATAGTGACTTACATACTTATATATAACATATGATGGCTTCTCAGGAGGGAAGGCAATCAAACTGTTTATAAACAGAACCTGTAACTTCATTTTGCCAAAAAAGTGACGTAAGTTTTATAAATCCCACTTTCTTTCCTAAAATCCTACCCTAAAAAATTTACAAATGCAGAACTTGTGAAGGCTACATGTGCAGAATTGTATGTAGAGCTAGTTCAGGATTCCCAGAATTTCTCCAGTCCATCTTACACTACTCTTCCCTTCTACACATTTGCTCATTAGCTTCTACGCAATATGTTGACTTAAATGTTTATCTCATATATATATATACTTTTTTAACTTCTGCCTAATTTGCTGACTTAGATTGTACCCTTTTGGTAGACAAAGACTAATATGTAGCCATATTTGTGTATCATCTTGAGGTTAAAGTCTTTAAGTGCCACTTATACACCCCATATTTTTCAGCTTTGTATAAGAAAGTGATTGTTCTTAAGGAAATATTGTCACCCAGCCCTTAGTAAAAATGATAAAATATTTTTTCCACCCTCAGTTTTTTCAAAAGTAGACCCTTCTGATAAACTCTGTTCTGTAATGCCTGAGTCCAGCTTGAGCCTGGGAGGTGTTAGGATAAGCCTGGAACATCTTGTGCCAGAAACTGTTGGGGGCATAGTCGAAGGACATGGATGCCAGCCTAAAGTTCCCACTGGCCAAATCTGGGGGAAATTAAGTATAGTAATGAATTATAAGTCATTGAAAAAATAGGAATGTATTAGTTCATACTGATGATGGATGGATGGATGGAGAAGAAAGGAAGGCTCTTCTTTATAGTACAGTGCTGACTGATAAATTTGGATGGAATGATGAAGTTGGAAAATCACCATTCTGCAACCATCACAACAAAGATTGGTTTAGGCAAGAATGATCAGTAGATGCTAAATATAGGGGGGATGTTTTGACAAGGAACAGGATGTTTACATAGTCTTAATTGTCTTCTCACTGCTAGTTACAAGGAGGAAAATAACTATAATATGGAAAAACCAGTGAGAGGCAGATGGGCCTCTGGATATGATACCTTGAGATACATTCAGCATCATTTATGTCATATTTGTATGTAAGTGGGAGGCATAACCTGAATTTAATCATGAGAAGACATCAGACAAAATCAAAGTGGAAATCATTCTATTAAAAAACCAAGTGTCCTGCATTCTTAAAAATGTCAATGTCTTGAAAGATAGGGGAGAAGAAGGCAGGGGGAAGGCTGAGGAACTATTCCAGATTAATGGAAACTAAAGAGACATGACAACTTACTGTTAATCTTTGATATAGGACTGGATCTCTGGACTAGAACTGAAAAAATGATAAAAAGGACATAATTAGGACAGTTGCCAAGACTGGAATATGGATGGTAGATTAGATAAAGGGTATTGTATTGATGTTAAATTTCCTAAATTTGCTAAATATATGATGAATATCTTTGTTCTTAGGAAGTACACAATGACGTACTTAAGGGTAGAGGAGGGTGATGTCTGTAACTTAGTCTCAGATGGTTCAAGAAAATGATTTTGCATGTGTGGAGATAGAGAATACAATTACAAATGTACCATATCGTCAACAGTTGGTGAATTTGAGTAAAGGCTACAAAGAAGTTCTCCAAGTGTTGCAAGTTTTCCATAAATTTGAAATTATTTCAAAATAAAAATTTTACAACTCTATTCGATGTTCTCTAGCCCTTTCTAAGGCACAAAATGACATGACGGTGATGAAGATGCAATCAGAGAGACTTTCGAAAGAATATGACCGGCTCCTGAAAGAACACTCAGAACTTCAGGTGGGTGACATCCATTTTACGAGCCTCAGCTTTTTGAAATAGTAATTAATTACCTAAGTCAATTATTTGGGTTATTTGCCCTTCGCAAGCCAAGAGGATGTATTGATAGTTAATCCTGACTTTGCAAAGTGATTAAATAAGCCAGTTTTTACTTGAAGATTGGGATATTGCATGAAAATAATCATAACAGAGAGAATTACTGACATGCTAACTTACAGCATTCTAGCTGGGGTAAAGTTTTAAGCCAAAGAATTGAGCCATAAAAACAGCAGCATTGGAAACCAGACTGGTTCTGGAAAAATTTAGTTTTGCCATTTAGAATGTTTGCCATATGCATGCCAAAATAAAGCCAAAAATTGAAGACCCACATTACACTACTCCTTCTATCCCACTGTTTGAAATATCTTAGGACAAAGCCTGAGGCATTCAAATATATGTTTTACCTCCAGAGTTGAGTTGAAAGATGGAAATGGAGAAAACCTTTTTATCATTGAAGTCACAAAGTCAGGGGCCATGGTTTTCTTTCTGTTCCCCTTCAGTACAGCAAGAGTCAGTTCCCTACCTTCACCCATGTTGGGTTTGTCTTCCCTTCCTTCTTGGGCTGCCAGCCCCTAGCCTGATTTGATTTCCCAGCCCACTTTGACCACGTGTGGGGAGAATTCAGGGAAGAGACCATTCCAGAGGCAACCCTGGCCCTCGCAATTCCTCCCAAGATGGAGGGTCTCTGCTCTTCTGCTTTCAGATTGGGTTTATCCTTAGAAATTGGCAGCATTTGTGGCCTTCAGTGAGGGCTTTTTAGCAATTACAGCTCTACAGTTATTTCACTGTATTAGAAGCCTTAGTACCAGGACTCATTTCCCTGCATGTCAGCGGTCATCGTATCTTCAGGATCCAGCACTGTGCCTGGCACAAGACAAACAAGCACGATATTCATAGGCTTGGAGTCAGACAGGCCTGGAATAACTATAACTTTCTTACTAGCTTTGTGATCCCAAGTAGGTCATGTCACCCCTCTGGGGCTCACTTTTCTTCATCTGTAAAATCAGAATAGTAATAACACCTGGCTCACTGGCTTGTTGGGAGGATTAAATAAAATGTGTAGGGTGCTTAGCATTGTGCCTGGCTGATAGTAAACACCCAAGTAATGATAGCTGTTATCATAATTATCACTATTACCACTATGCCTCTGTAGAAATTTTACTGAAAGAATGACTTATTCTCATCCAGCCACTTTGGCCTTGACTAGAGCCAGTCAAGAGATAATCTGATGCACATCTGTAATCTGGTATTTCCAGCTGAGTTGCATGTCTGATTTAACTGACCTACTTTGACAGTAGGGCGACCAGAGAAGGATAGATACCCTGTGGGCTCCAGACCCAGGACACCAAGAGCTCAGATCTCATGCTCTGGAGTAGATAGTTAGATTTTCAGCAGGACCACCCTTTCTCCATCTCTACGACAGAGGTCCTGAAATTGCTGACTTCACCATGGTATGATGAGAATTATTCCGTTGCATACTTAAAGATCCACCATGGAAAGTGAAGAAGCGTTTTAGAAGCCTCTCGCCTAGAAATAGAACTATTTTTCCCTCCCATTTGTGAGATCAGGGTGTAGTGAACAAGGATGAGTATCTACACCAGTGGTCCCTGCTCAGGGTATCAGAAACGTTTAGATCCCTGGATGGAGAAAGAAGCAGAGAATGTCCCATTGTGGTAACAGCCAATGATTCTGTTAATCCCTCAAGAATGTATGTGATAGTAAGATACCTTCAACCCATTTTCTTTCCCCAAAAAAAGCTTCAGTTTGAAGCTTATGCATTCCTGATAAAAGATGTTCAAAAGTTTTTATGAGTAATCTCTTCCCAAGAAAGTAGTTTTTATACCTGTCTTTGAAAAAATGTCCTCATCCCAGATATGCCAGGTGCCAGGCTGAGAGTTGGGCCTTGGTGCATTTAAGCCTTGTATCCAGGTTTTTGAAATACTTATGGATGACATTTACTGAGGGTGTGCTCAGGACCAAGCACTTAGCTGATGGCTTCATATATGTTATCTGTGTTCTCTCCTTGATAGCCCATCAAATTATTGATAAAATACATATTTTAATACCCTATTTTGTGAATGAGGGAAAGGAGACCCAAAGATGTTAAATAATGTACCCAAAGTCACTGAACTGAAAAGTGATAGCATTCAAAGTTGGATTTAAAGTCAGGAAATCTTTCTTCAGAACTTCCATCATTAACCATTATGTTCCTTCACCTGTGCTGGTCATTGGACTGTGGGTTCTGGGGTCCGCTGTTTGGATTCTGGGCAGATTCAGCCAAAGGGAGGCACTGGTAGAAGACTGAAGGCAGGAGGAGGGGGAAAGCCAAGAAAGTCTCCTGTTCTCTCCACTTCGGGTGGCATCTGCCACAGCAGCCTCATCTCTTTCCATGGTCCCAGTTCCCACTGGGCGTCTTCCACCTGGTGGGACCTCGTTCCTGGGATCTGTTAACACTGTCTCCTCCATTGCCCTCCAGCCCAAAGAATGGTTTTCTGCCGTTGCTAATACCTGAGGTGTCTTTTACCACCCTGTGTGGTGTGTCTACTCTCACCACCTATAAAACCAATTCCCTATGATAAATATCTGATGAAAAAAACTCTCAGCTCCATGGTTGACCAGTTCTGTAAACCTCGGGTGAATCATTTGACATTCATGCAACTTGGCTTCTTCAGTACTTAGATAAGGATTATAATATTTCATGAGCATTAAATCAGATCCTGGGCAAGAAAGCACTTTAAATATATTTAAACAAGAAAAACTCTCTACAACTGTACGGTGCTATGAGTTATTTCTCGATTGGATACTTCTTTTTCCCATCCACCTACTTAACCCTCCATTGTCCAGTAGGAGAACCTGAATAAGATTCTGAAATATAGGTGTCATTAAATGAGAACCATTTTCTTAAAAGTGACTCTTACACTTTGATACTCATCTTCTGAACCCAGCTGAGAAGCAAAAGATTGCTGTAGACCATCTACAGTAAAAAGCTGTACCAAACTGTTCTTCATGATTTTACTTCAATTGTCAGACCAACCTCAATAATTGAATTACATCATAAAGTTCATTGGGAAACTTAACTTTTCAATTTTATATACTTGATTTACTTTAAATAAAATAATCATAAAATAAAGGACTGTTAAAACATTAAGGAAACAGGTGGAAGAGAGGAAAGCTTGTTTCTTTACTGTAAACAAATCCCACTTTACATCTTTTAAATTTGTTTGGATTTCCCCATCTGATCCCCTTCCTGTTATAGGCACTAAATAAATATTAGAAAATAATTCCTTTGAAATATGTAGTCTTTGCCTTTCCTTGTTTGCCCTGGCTCTCTTCTAGAAAAGAAAACCCAGAATGTACTCAGGATAATTGGCAGCTAGCCATTTTAAAATTTTATTTTGGAAAATCACCCTTCACTTAAGGGACTTATCCAGAATAGCAGATCCATTAAAGCTGTGCTTTTTATCTGAAGTGGTAAGATACATGTAAACACATAAAAGCAGTACCTTGTTACTCGTATACCTCCTCTAATGCTGTCTTCTGACTCGATTGCTTAAAGTTGATGTTACTGAAGTTGCTCTGAAAGCAGAAATGCTCAGCTGCAACGAGAGCTTGGTAGCTTCCCGGGTGCAACAATAACCCCGGAACTCCATTGTTTGTGATATTTTTTCTCAGTGTAGATGTCTGCCTTCTTCGTGCAAATGATCTCTCTGGTTAACTTCTATCCCATTTTCCTCCAGTTTTAAATCATGTATTATAGTCATCTTGAGATCAGCAAAGAGTATAATTGGAGAAGCCAGTTCTATTGGCAAATATCTGAAGAACAAAAAAAAGGCCACCCCATATGGGTTTTTTGGTTCTCTTCTTTCTTTGCCAAAAATCTTCATTAAGTTTGCAAGAGGGAAATTTTAGAAATTTTGTTTTCCTTGTATAAGCTGTGAAATGAAAGTAAAATAGATTACAGCAGAGGAAAAGGTGAACTTATCAAGAGTGTTATTTTTTATCCCTCTAAGCACTTGTTCAAGTAAAACTACTCATTTTGTAGTTTTTTAAAATTTGAGACTTTCTCAATCTATGTTTTAATTGGATATTCTCATAATAACTATACACAGAAAAGGATGTTTTTTAAAAGTCCTTGTCATATTTATGAATGTGTTTCTCACTCTTGCTATAACTACCTGTCACATTTTTTTTTCTTGCAGGATCGTGCAGGGAAAGGCAATAAGAAAGGCCTGTGAACTTTATGAAAGAAGACTGTGATACACCATGTCAAGAGGATAAATTTGTTATCATGTTAGCCTCTAGAAAACTTAAAGTTCAGTTCAGAAAAACAAACTGTCTATGACCAGCCAATATTTTTTTAATGCCACACACATAGGCTATTGTCATAATGGCATTATCACAATATTTGATGATGTTTCAGATATATTGTAAAGTCTGTATTCTAGCTCTCAAGTGAAATATAAGCATGTTAAACACCTTATCTAGATATAGTAACACTGGTGTATGGTGGCTGTTTACCAATAAAAGGAGAAATTCATTAGCCACTTACTTCCAAACTTAGATTTTTAAGTTGCATGAAACCATTAAATAACCTTAAAAGCTTTGATGAATTTCCAATAATAATACTACTCTTACTTAATCAGACGATGGTGTATTTGAAAATAGTATTCAGTATCAGCAAGTTTGTTCATAGGGAGATTAACTAAGGATAAATGATTAGAAGTAGCTACTATATTTATAGGTAAGAGTCATAAAGAGCAAAAAATAAAAACAGTGACCTTAAGTTTTATTTTTTTAAGCCTGATGGTACTGCAGTTGACTGTCATAAAACAACTATATTGATAATTATATTTTCGTTACTGTGCTTCTGCACCTGTTGGGGATTATTTTTGTTGACATTTGTGTTACTAACACATAATTAGTAAAGATTCTGCTTTTTTAAAGTTCATCTGGGAATGGAGTTTACATCTATTTGCATAACTGCCACAGCACTGAACTGAAATTATTTTACAACAACGTGGAATTCTTGACTTGGAAATGTATAATGTATCCAAAAAGCAGTGTTTCCCATTGCTGTGAGAGTTGCTAATTATACAAATATTACCTCAAATATACACACAGTGGCGTCACAGTTTTGCCAAGATGTTTCTGTATTCTGAAAGCTAAATATTAAATAACTGTTTTTCCATTCAAATATTCCATTTAGTTTCCTTTAGGAGAGGATGATTGTATATTAATGCGATTTAGGTTGTTCCAGTGTTTAGACTTGAAAAACCATCTTCCTTGTCTCTAAATATAAAAGAAAATGGAAAATAACTACTGGAGTTTTTACTTTTCTGGTATTTGTTTTATCCTTTGTTATTTATTATCATTTTAGCACCAACTTCATGCATATTTAATTTTTTTCACTGTAAAGTGGGTGAAGTGAGCAAGTACGTATTTTATTTCAGATAAAAGGAGTTACTGCTAGAAAACAGACATGTAGGAGACATTTAGCAGAGTAAGAAATGGGAGTTAGACCATATGGGCTGACAGCACCGTAAATAACAAGGCAAGGGAGCGCTGACAGAGGAGCGAACTGAACAAGTAGCAACTTAGAAATATCGAAGTGCGATCTACCTGGTTAAGGATATAGATACTGTTCGTGATCCTGGCCTGGTGAACAGAAATCAAGTCTAATGACAGAGTAACATACAGAAAGTAGAAAATACACAGCTTTAGAACTGGTAGAACCAAATTATAATCCTAGCTTCAGCACTAATTTAGCCATGGGATTTTGTACAAATTATTCAAACTTGCTAGATTTACATTTCCTCACCTCCGAAATGGGAGTCATAATATTTAGGTCAGGGTTATTATATAAACTAAGATAACACAGTGATTCGCAAAGTTATGCAGACTGTACAGCAAGGGGAAAGCCCAGGTGCTCTTTGAAGAGCATAAGGATTTGAAAGATTCCCAGAAGACACTTTAAAGTATACATTTAAGTATTCTTAGTCCTCAACCCTCTCAGTTGTCCAGGTCTGCAAACTGAGGCCTGAAAAGTGTATGCAGTTTTCCCAAGTTAACATGGATAGTTAGATGCAGGGCTAGGATTTGAGTCTAGAATTTAGGTGTCCTAGTTCCCCAGATATTACTCTAGTTTTTATACACAAATTAGCTATAATTTGCTAAAAAAATACTGCCATGTACTAGCCAAGGTCTGGACTATGGAGTCTGGCTCCCATGTCGTGTATTTTACACTACACTGAAGGCCTCTCGAGCTCTGCTTCTTAGTTCTTATGACTCTCCTTGCCAGTGAGGGTGTTTAGCAAATCCTATTATAAATAAACACGTATTCCATGGATTTAGTTAGACTGCATATTAAGTTATGTTCCTCCTGTCAGTAATGACTTTTTTTTTTTTTAATTATTTTTGGCTGCATTGGGTCTCTGTTGCTGTGCACAGGCTTTCTCTAGTTGCGGCGAGGAGGGGCTACTCTTTGTTGCAGTGCGCAGGCTTCTCATTGCGGTGAATTCTCCTGTTGGCGGAGCACGGCCTCCAGGTGTGCGGGCTTCAGTAGTTGTGGCAGGCAGGCTTCAGTAGTTGTGGCAGGCGGGCTCAGTAGTTGTGGCTCGCGTGCTCTAGAGCACAGGCTCAGTAGTTGCGGTGCATGGGCTTAGTTGCTCCGAGACATGTGGGATCTTCCCAGACCAGGGCTTGAACCCATGTCCCCTGCATTGGCAGGTGGATTCTCAACCACTGCGCCACCAGGGAAGTCCCAGTGATGACTTCTTTATATCTTAGGCTGTATTATAGGTTCAAACACAGAAGTGTTATTCTTGCCCTTTGCTATAAGTTGCTTAAGAGTTTTGTCAGACTCTGTCCTACTTGCAAATGTACCTTGAAGTTCCAGACTCCAGGAAGTTGCACTTAAGAAGTTCTAGCCGAGCATCTAGAATTTGGCGTTAGTCATCCTCATTTCTTGCCGGGCTCTGTCTTGGGCCCCAGTACTGGTAAGTAGATTACCTGGAACCCCAGTCTAGAGCCTGGAATTTAACTGCTTTCTATGGTGCTGTCCTGATGCCACCAACCTGCCTGGATCTGTAAAGACCCATGCTGTGGTCCCGGAGCTGTTCTGCTTGCCTGCTGAGACCTCACAGCCTCCTTGGACCTCAGAGCCACAGCCACTTGGCTGCACCTGCTCCTGTCCTCCTGCCCCGCCTCTGGGGCTTGGTCTGGTTCTGCCTTCCCATCCCGTTGTCCGTCGCCTTCTCACCATCCCTCCCATCTACATCCCACCACAGCGGAACAGCCATGCCCGGACCAACTGACAGGTGACACACCTTACGTTTGAGGGCCCACAATGCAGTGCGTAAATACAGCGGTCCTTTTATGCCTTGACTAATATCTAGAATGAGTTATTTGAAGGCCATGAAGCCCTTTTGAATTTTTTTTATTCTTCAGCCTTCCTTTCCTAGAATTCTTGAAACACCACTAATGAAAATACCATTTTCTTTTTTTAGCATTTCTTTCTCTAAATTTACCAAGTGGCATTTATTTCACAGTATTGCTTTCCACCTTGATCTCTAAACATATGACTTTATTTGTCTTTCCTTGTATAGCCAAAAGTGATTTCCAACACTACAAAACTGAAAACAGCCGCCCAGAAGCTGTCCATGTCCTGATGCCTGGAATCTGAATATTCTCCTCTGGCAAAAAAGTGAATATTACCTGATATGGCGAACCACGTGAAGTTAAGGCTCTTGAGATGGGGAGATTATCCTGAATGATCTGAGTGGGCCCTAAATGCCATCACAGGTCTCTTTAAAAGAGGCAGGGCTTCCCTGGTGGCGCAGTGGTTGGGAGTCCGCCTGCTGATGCAGGGGACACGGGTTCGTGCCCCGGTCCGGGAAGATCCCACATGCCGCGGAGCGGCTGGGCCCGTGAGCCATGGCCGCTGGGCCTGTACGTCCGGAGCCTGTGCTCTGCAACGGGAGAAGCCACAACAGTGAGAGGCCCGCGTACCGCAAAAAAAAAAAAAAAAAAAAAAAGAAAGAAAGAAAGAAAGAGGCGATGGGAGATAATACCACCCGGAAGAGGGGAAGGCTCTGTGACCACAGATGCAGAAAGCAGAGCGCTGCAGCCACCAGAGCTGGAAGCGGCAAGGGATGGGTTCTCCCTGGAGCCCCTCACAGGAGCCGGACCCTGCACACCCCAGCCAAACTGATTTTGGGCTTCTGGCCTTCAGAACTGTGAGACAGTAAACTTGTTCCAAGCCACCAAGTGCGTGGTAATTTGTTACGGCAGCCATAGGAAACTAACGCAGGAACATGCAGGACAAATCTGTAACGGGCTGGAGTGAATTTCACAGCAGGTAGAAAACAGACACTCTTTGACACCAGCTGGGCTTCCCCAAAGATAGCCTTAGCCGTCTCCCCTCTTAGTTCTCTTCCTCCTTCAATTTTGTTTCTCTCCACCCCCACTGCCACTGCCAAACCAAGCCATCATCCCTTCTCACCTGGACTACTGTCACCACCCCCTGCCCGTCTCCTCCCTAGGTCCACACTCTCAGAAACCACAGCATTCCCTGCTTAAAGTCTAGCAGTTATTCCCACTGTACCTCAGATGAGACTCCCGAAACCTCGCCAGGCCCCTACCTCCTCTCCAGCCTCACCTCCATCTACTTGCCCTGCCGACCACAGCGGCATTCAGAGTCCTCTTAGAACAAGCCAAGTTCTTTCCCCTCTCAGTGTTTTTACATACACAGTACCTCCTCCCAGCCCTGTTTTGTTTATCCTATTTTATTTTTATCCTATTTTACTTTCATACTTATCGTTGTCTGAAATGATCTCATTTATGGTTTGGTTTTGTCTCCTGCCCGGAGACTTAAACACAGTTCCTACACACAGTAGAACAGTATTTCTCAACAGGCAGTGGGGAAGATGTTCCCAAGGGACACTTAGCCATGTCTAGAGGTGTTTTGGGTTGTCATAACTAAGGGACTGCTGCGGGTGGGTAGAGGCCAGGGATGCTGCTAAACTCACTCAACAATGCACAGGGTGGCCCGCCACAAGAAGGAGTTCTCTGACCCCAAATGTCAATATTGCCAAGGTTGAGATACCCTGCAGTGATGCTTATGGCGGAGGGTACTCGGTGTGCCCCAACACCAATCTTTAATGCACCTGTGGTGAGAGATACCCCGATGTTTTTACACACAGCTGCCAAGCATAAGGACAGTATTTTCCAATCTCCTTGTAGGTAGAAACAGGAAGGAAGGTCACGTGGCGGCAGTTTCTTTTTTTTCCTTCTTCCATCCTGCTGCCTGATACACAGGCGCTGCCATCTGAGATCCTGAGATTGAGGCCGTGCAAGCTAAAGCAACAAGACAGAAGGATGCTGTGTCCCTGCCACCACAGAGCACCCACCCCTCCTGAATCACTTCTCACCAAATAGTTCAGTAAATAAATGACAACAGATACGTTTAATGCATTGTCTCTCTTAACAGCCTAGACATGGATAAAGAACCAAAAACACATTTGGCCTTCTAGCACAAAACCATCAACCTTTTTTCCTTTCTCTTTCCTACTCAAAGGGTTTCGACTTCCCTGCCATTTTCATTAGGATCATGATTTTAAATTACATCCTCTACTTTCTCTGCAGTCCAGCTTATTATATTTAACTTAACCATTATTAGTCCATCGACAGCGTGCAGTGTGCCCCCCCACAATGTCTGTGCATTTCACACGGGAAGAATTTACAAGGAAAGATCTCTGGTCTCCTCTGTCTTTACTGTGACTTTCGCCACAAGGAGAACAAAGCACACAAACACAGGCGCATTCGGTTACACTTTGTATAACCACACAGAACATAAAAGCTTGAAGTCTAATTGTGACAAAATTAGAAAAGACTTAAGTCCCTACAGGGTTTTGTTCTTGGTTATCACCCCTTTTCCTAAATTTGGGCAAAGGACGTATTTGAAGTTTTGGCTTTGCCCCCTAAGCCAGATGCCTTCCTGGTCAGCCAAGTTTCTCCAGACTGTGTTATCGCTCCTTCAGAGATCTTTGTTCTCCCTGAAGCAACACCGTGGTAAAGAATTTCATTCTCATTCTTCCAAGGGCTGCCAATTTCCTGGAGCCCAGATGACTTCCTGGCACATCTCAGCCAAGGGCTTCCTGAAATAACCCTCCACGGGGGTTTACTTCTGAAAAGTCTTCTTTAAGTTTGTTTGGTTTTTTCCTCTTGAAAGAAAATTGACACACAACTAACGTAGAAAACATATAAATCACAGAAAAAGAATACAGTTAGCAGTTTGGTTAATGCTCTTACACATACAA